AGCTGGATTTACAAGAGGCTTTGGGGCACAATACCGAACTCCCAGAGCACCAAAGATCCATCCTTGGAATTATGCTTATTAGGGGTTCTCATCCATTACCATTTACTTCACACAGATATCCACTAATAAGATAGTGGATAATAAAGCTCAGCTTTGTTATTTATTACTTATTAAGTACTATTAAAATAGATACACTGGACAACCAATCTCTGTGTGTAATGTATTCCTCAAAAAATAAGCTTTTTCTTACATAAAAATATCATTTCATATACCAATACTCCTTCAAGTTTGCCTGCTTTGTGGGCTTATTTTTTCTGACAGGGTGACCTATAGTTTAAAATACTTTGGGGTAAGAAGAATGTTTCCAGAGTAACTGAAAGTGATTTTTATGGGCTGCGTGCATGAGTTAACTAATTAGAATAACAATGTTGGGAAAGAGTTGCGGGTGATGAGCAACTAACAGGGATAAACGATTTTTAATAGACAACGGTAGTGTCTTCAGAATGATAAATACTTTCCTATTGTATGATAAAAAATAAATAAATCTATTTTACTAAGAGAGCCTTCTTATGAACTGTGAGGCCAGTGGGGGGGAGGAATAGATTCATTTAGATAAAATGCTATTAAATTGCCTGTATACTGTCCTGTCAGACAACTATCGACCCCATCCCATGGGAGAAATTGATTTCCGTGCGGAGAGCTATGTGCTTTTTGCAGTGTATTGCTTCAGTGCTATTGCTCTGGTAATCACACACGGCTGCCTCTTTTCCTTTCTCTCTCTCTCTCTCTCTGTCTATTTGTTGTGGAAAGATTGATTGAGAGACATGAGGGATTTAGATTGCCATATTTGTTGTTATTTGACCTTTTCAATTATATTCTGTTAAAAATGTAAATAGTTCATTTGTAATAATGTACATATGAATTTGCTTAAGTGGTCTGCGAGTAAGGCTTCCAGGAGGAAGCATTTACCTTTGTTCTCCTGTAGACCTATTAGAGCTGACTCAGTGAAGTGAATTCAAATGCAGCTGAGGATGCTCCCTGCCTCAGTAAAGCTATCTAGGATAGTTCTCAACACAACAAGATCTAAAGATGGGAAAAATAATCCAAACTAGCAATGCCAGAATCACATAAGTGATGAAAAGTGAAATGATACATCATTAAGGATCCTTGCTTTGGTTTGGATTGGTTTTCCTTCTTTTAGGCATAAATACCTTTTGTCAGCTCTCTCTAATGATAGTCATTTTTTAACAAGACAAAAGCACTTGAGGTCAAGAAAAGCCAACATTAAAGTTGAAACCCAGTTTTAAATCTTCTCCCTCTGCAGGAAAATAAGAAACAAGGTCTTTAATTGTCATGAAATGGTCACACATTGTTTCTCGGATAATAGAGCTTCAGTTTACAAAACTGTTTGTCTGACAAATTATGTATGTGCTTGACTTTTTCTACTATTTCTTGTCATTCCTACATTAGTTTCATTGTTACGGGTCACTTTAGCATCATTATAGCTAAAGCAGGTGTTTGAACGTCTGCTTGTGGGAATCTAGGTCCTTGCTGCTCTCTGGCAGCGTACCTTGGCATTTGCACATGGGGGAACCTCTGAATGGGAAACAGCCAGGATAGACCTTCTTGCTGTACCTCGTGCCAGTGCTAAAGGCAGAGAAGATCTGCTGGTAGATCACAGCTACGTTTTAGTAGTCACAGGCTGCTGCATTAGGCCTTTGGAGGAAAGTGTAGGATGGCTTGCTTAGAGCCATGTACTAGCCCAGACTTGAAGACCAGCAAACTGCTGCGTCCATCTTTGCACATATGCGCTGAGGCTATGTCAAATATCCAGAGTTTCAATGCTTTTATTTTTATTACGCTGGATGGACAAGGCTGCAAAAGCAGAATCACTGGTGATCTGTAAAAATCAATGAAGACGGGATGCAGCCTCTCCTTTGCCTTTTACTTGCCCATGTCCTTTAATCTGTAGTAAATAGACATAAAATGCTGTTCAGTCAAAATCACATTGCCTTACACTGACCTTATGCTCCCTCCCTGTGTAAAGAGATGGCAGAACTGTGATGAAGCAGCCACGAGTGGAGAACATTAAGTGCCTTAGAAAAATTTAGCTGTGCTCTTGGCCACGTAGCCAGCTTTTTCTACCTATACCCTAGTAGCTGTTTGACAAAGCTGCTGCAGCCTTTTTTAGATGTGACATGAGGTCAGGGGGCAAAGCCCAAGCCAGCAAAGTGCTCCAACACAGCTGTCGCAGAGGGTGAGCCAAGGCAGGAGAGGAAAGTAACAGGACCCTGCTGATGTCCTCAGCAGTTGCGAGGTTGCTGCCGTAAAACGGGCTGAGGATGACTTATGGAACAGGTTTGAAAATGAGAGGGAAAGAGGATTGCTTAACTGGAGGCTGTTTTGGTGGGGACAGTGGGAAAGCCAGGCATGTTATAAGCAGGGACAAGCAGAACAGAAGAACCAGATAAAAACTTTGTCAGAGTAAACCCAGCAGCCTCCCCCTCCCTTCCCTCTTCAGGGGTTGGTGACACCGTTTTCCAGATCCTATTGTTTATGTCTGGCCAAACTTTTTGCCTTGTGCTTAATGGTGACTGGGGCATGTGTGAAAAATCATTGTTGCAGAGAGGTGGCTGAGATCTGGAGAGATGCTAGAGGAGAATAGAGACAGGCTGGGAGAAAGGCTGAAAATCACACATAGAATACCATTTCAGAGAGCATGCCCCACATTTCTCAGTAAGATTTGCAGGCTAGTTGCTGTCTGTGATTCCTGAATATTTAATTTTTTTTCTCCGTAACAGCTTACTTTTTTTTTTTCCCACCTGGTCATGGTGTTCTTCATTCCTTGTCTTTATTTATTACAGAATACAACAGCAATATTACAATTAGATATTTATGGCAGTGGCAACAATTTAGGAGTAGATAGCCAGTATGCAGGAAACGAGCGGGGAAGCTTTCACATGCATGTCAGCATATAAACTGCCACACAAGTCAAGTTAAAGGGTGTCTGACTGTAAAAAAAAAAAACCAACCACAAGTGATTATGTTGCTGCATTTCCTTTGCAGCGAACAAACCAGTTCGGAATTAGATATTTATGGCAGTGGCAACAATTTAGGAGTAGATAGCCAGTATGCAGGAAACGAGCGGGGAAGCTTTCACATGCATGTCAGCATATAAACTGCCACACAAGTCAAGTTAAAGGGTGTCTGACTGTAAAAAAAAAAAACCAACCACAAGTGATTATGTTGCTGCATTTCCTTTGCAGCGAACAAACCAGTTCGGGATCCTTACATATGAAAGCTCATATAAATAACAAGTGATTATGTTGCTGCATTTCCTTTGCAGCGAACAAACCAGTTCGGGATCCTTACATATGAAAGCTAACATATAAATATAAGCTACTACTACTGTGCAAAGAAATCTGTAAATTTGTAATTGTACAGAAAGAGAGAGAGAAAACATCCATTCCTGTTGATGTGACAGTGCGTGATTTGCAAATAGGGTGTATGTTCTCAGCAATGGCACTGGGAGGCACTGAGCTCTGCAAAGGATGTTTCTACGCCCATCTTCACCACTTTTAGGCTCAGGTGCCAGTTCAGGAAAGCATATTTATTGGTGAACCTCTAAAGTGGAAAACTCTAAAATACATTGTTATTAAGTATGTACTTAATGATCCGTTGGAGCAAGTGTGACTTTGCAACAAAGGAAATTCTATTTCAACATATGGAAAAAAACCTCAACTGTGGGAGTGGCGAAACATTTGAGCAGGTTGCCTAGAGAAGCTGTGACTCCTCCATCGAAGATTTTCAAAACCCGACTGGACAAAGCCCTGAGCAAACAAGTCTAACATTAAGGTAAACCCTGCTTCGAGCAGGAGGTTGGACTAGAGAACTGCCCCCATTCTCCTCACACCAAGGTCTCTTAGAAACTAAATCTATGTACAAACATGTCTCCCAGCTGTGAAGAGAGGTACCACAAACCCAGCGTCAATCTTAACTTCTAGCCTGAAGGTGTAGATTCTCTCCCTTTGTCTTGGGGTGGGGAGAGAGAAGGAGAAGCTGATCTATGTGGGTTTTTTTGAAATACAGAGGGAGGGAGGTGATAGGTGTGGGAGGATGAGGAGCCAGAAAGACAGGAGGAAGATGAAACTGTAGGGGACTATGTATGTGGGAATTTGTACAGGAAACCAACAATGTTACCTGGATCTGGGGAAACATCATTGTATGAGTACATACGAATGAAAGTAGTCAGGCGTGTGGGGAACAGCAAGAGACCTATACCAGAGAAGATGGGCTCCCTCCTTGCCTGTTCTCAGGTGTCACGTGAAGTTTACAGGAGTAGTTCTGGTTCAAATGTGACAAAGCTGACACCTCTCAATCAACAAACAGGGACTTGAAATATTAAGGTGAAAGGTACCTTAGAAATAGTAGAGGGATACAAATATCAGTTGAATCTCTGAGGTATGAAATTTCTTGGGATCTTTTCTCATTTGCTTATGTGTATTTGTAATGAAGTAGAACTTAATTTGATACCCCATTAGAAGTACATCCAAAGGGAACTGCTGGATGCCCCTTATCAAGTGTTTCTACGCTTCTCTCTCACAACAGGGTAACTTTTGCACTGTGATCACTTTTTGTAAAAAAAACAAAGCAAGCTACCTGTAATTGGAGAGTCTAGCGTTGCTAAACCCAGGATTTTTGTAAGACACCCCTGCAGTGCAAAGTACCTCAGCTTCCATTTACTGGCTTGTGTTTGTATGTGCCTGTGCTTCAGAGAATGTTTAACCAAGGAAGAAACTGCCCCTCATTCCCGTCCCCACTAATTTCATGCAAGAATCCATCATTTTAATAGAAACTTTATTTGTGCATGTGAAAAAGCCTTTGCGTTTCATGTCAATGACGGGGAGAGCAAACAAGGGGAGAAGCTGTCAAATGACTGTGTTGGTAAAGGATGAACTGCTTGCAGAGCGAGTACTTCTGGACTGATGTTTTTCTTCTATTCAGTGCCTTCCTCCTTTGCCACCCATTGCTAAGGACAAATACAAAGAAATGTGTGAGAACAACTTAAAGCAAAGTTGCAGTACAGGGAAACATACAGAATATCTGAGCATTGGTAACAAATGTTCCCAGGTCAGAGACCAAAGGTCTGTGTTACACTTTGAAAGGCACTTTTTGAAAATAAGAACTTCAATCCTGTCTCCAATTCTCTGCCAAACCCCATAGGATCCCACTACCATAATTAGCATCCTTACCGATGCATTCAGGTATAGACTAGGCTTCCTCATACCTTGGTTTGATTTATCTAGGTGTGGGCTGCATTAACTTGTCAGGGTGATGAGGAAAACTTGTGCTGTTCTCTGCTTGGAGCTGGTAAGTGCAGGTAGATCCCTCTGCTTTTGACCCAACGAATTTCCTTTAAAGGAAAGGAAGCTAAGCTGTTCTAAAAGGCCACAAGTGCACTAATGATTCCTGTCTGTCAGCCTGATAACTCCATTCTCATGTTTCACTGTTTCCTCCCACTTAATCTGTTTTGTATGTTCAAATGTGAAGCTCTCGGTTTGGTCCTGAATTTGTGTTTGAAAAATATTTAATGAACTTCCACTGCGGTGCTGATGAAAGCATAACCTAAACTTCCACTGGCCTTTTTTCTGTCGCTATATGTTTCAGATTTCTGTCTCTTCTATCCATCCATATCTTTGCAAATTTATGGCATAGTTATTTCCACTAATTCCCTAGTTTCGGCTTCTTACCAAGTATAAAGCAACAAACAGGAGAAATATTGCTTTAAGAACAATGCAGCCACTTCTCTTATTTACATTCCTTCATCTAGTAAATGTACACTTGAGCCGAAATATTGCTGACTTCTCAGAAGTCATTTGTTATTTCACCTTTATTAGGAGGATTCTCACTTACAAATGGACTGGACAGTGGACGTAGTACTGCCCCTGGGAGTTCCACCTCCATGGGCTTTGGCCTCCTGGGACATCATCTGGGAGGCCTGGGATCCACGGGAGATCCCGCTGCTGGTAAAGCCTGATGAGTGGGTTGAGCCTGTGGCACCTAGAACAGTTACAAAGGAGGTGTTACTGTGCTTTCCTGACTGGAAGGAACCTTATGGGATAATTATAAACTACTGTGTTTTAAAAAAAATTCAAGGCTAGCAAATGTATCAAAAGACAAGGAGACTGCTGATTACTTGACTTGTTCCATCAGTATACTGTTTTTTAGCTGCCACGTTGGGGAAAGGACATTTGCAGTGTTTTGTGGATGTTCCCAGAACACAAAGAAAATCTAAGACTCCCGTACAGACTCTTTTTGATAAATCTGGATCTCTAAAAGAGTTTCATCACAGTTTGTCTCTGCTGAAATAGCAATTTTCTGAGGAGCTGCCTGCGGACTGTGGAACAAACCCCTACAGGAACTAAGGATTGTTGCAGACCTCACCACTTACTGTTCCAGGTAACGGATATGTTCCTCTCACTTCACCTTTCATAGCATAAACCTATGCATAATAGATAACTTCAACTAACGAAGAGAATTCAAACACAGCAAGCTGTGGTAGCCGGTGGCCAATTTATATGTATGTCTCCATCTCATTACAAATAAGCCCCAACCAAAGCATTCCATTGCAAACCCTTCTTCTCCTGGGAAAGGACTAAAGCAGTAGCAATGACAAATGTTAGTGATAATGCTTGAAGCATTCGTGGAGGATGCTCAAATATTTTGGTGATGAGCTTGTTATAACATCTTCTGTAAAGTGATACTGAACAATACTCATGCCCTGCTGCAGAATCAGCCGCTCCTTCAAGCGTGTTTGTTCTGGGGGGAGGAGGGGTTACAGTCTGAATGAAAAGGTTAAGAAGATGTGTTTGAAGAGCGAGAGATTTCAGTGAGCACCTGCGGAAATGAAATCAGGCCCTTTTAGCTCTCAATCAGGCAAAGAATGTGTGGCAAGCTCTCCTGCTGCAGGGAGCCAAATCTCACACCTGCCTTGGCAATGTTACAGAGCTAGCATTTTTCTCATGGATAAAAGCTCTTTTGGAGTATCTCCTGTAGGCATGGCTAAGGTTTCCTTGAGCCATGCAGATTTCTCTTCACCAAAACCAGTGGTTTTCATAAAAGTGCATAGTTGATACAGACATGGAAAGAATAAAGCTAGGTGTTGCTAAATGTTTACTTTGCTCCTCTCTTTTCTAAAGATTCTCAGCACATGGAGGGATACAAGTCTTCAGTCTTTTATTTTAGAAACTGAAACTTCGTGCTCTCTATAGAGCATCACCACTGAAGAGTGTGCCACTGGCTATGGGTGTGCCGAGTACTGCTGTACCACCCTTATCTGTAACAGAAGGCAAGATTGTGCAACTGACTCCGCTCTAGTGTACGATTAAACTAAGTAACTGGTATCTCCTGAGTACCAGGATCTCTGGCGTTAATGCAGCATGGTGCCTGAGAGCAGCTCTTCCCGCTCTTCACTCTTGGTCCTCCTCCTCTCCTGACTGTCTCACATATTCTTTCCCCTCTGCTGCTACCATCCCTTAAGCTCTTTGCTATTAAATATTCAATAAACAGTAACCTAAACTCACTGATCAAATCACACGGAGTAAAAATTAAAAAATGCCTCACAGGAGTCACATGCAGTATCTCTCTGAATGACCCTTATGTCACTTATTCCCTCACTGTCTAGAGAGCCTCATGCTATGAATAATATTGGCAGCAATGTAAATCATATCTTAAAAAAAAAAACTTAGTTCCCCTCAATCAAGCTTATCGCATTTTTTACTATTAAAAGATGCCCCAAATCTGGACCCTGGTCAGCTCACCTGGCCAACCACCCATTTTATAGCTGGAAGAGTCAGGTTCAGCTCCATCCTTCAGTATACTTCTACGAAAGTATACTTCTACTTTCTGCTTACTACGAAAGAAGTAGACCAGCGGTTGACCAATATGGCAGAAAGCCCCACCTGTAACCAGCCTGCAGCCTGCTGCTCAGCACACTCCTGACACGTGGGAGATGTGGGTCCAAGACCCCTAAGGGTTTTGACGCCTTTATCCAAGGTCAGCCTGCTAACTACTGTGCTGTTGGGTAAAGCAGGATTACGTGGCGCACTCTCTTCTGTGGGGTTATGCCTGCTTAGAGGATGCCTGCTGAATCAAGTCACGCAGGCAGGACTGGCAGGGAGAATACCTCGTGCACGAATCCCATGGGATCTGGGGTTAAACAAGTGCCAAGCTGCTTAGAGTCGTCAGGTCGGGGATTGCTCTGTGCATGCAACAGAAAAGCAAGCACCTGCAGGGTTAGCTCATGTGAAAGCCAGCTACGCCTAGTTTTAGTACTTAGGTACGTGCTGTGTAGAATGTGTATATATTCTCTTCGTGAATTCAGCTCTTGGACTGCAGCTAATTTCCCTCTGCTATAGCATTTGCATAAGGTTTTATGGGTTCTCCCTGTATGGATGTGTGTGAGTAAAGAGCAAGGGAAATCTGATAATTTATAGGAAATGTAGGTACACAGATCATGTTCTTGCATAAGTGTATCGTTGCTTATTGCTACCATGACTTTCCATATTATTGATGATTCCTAGCAGAATGGAGAGATAGCACAAACTTCAAATAAACACTGTCCTGAATCTCATGAATACCACATAAGTATGTCTACTTTCATGCATATGTACATACACAGAAAACATCCTTAATAGCATCCCACTCATAACATGCAGTTAAATATAGGAATCTTTTGTCTTCAGTGCAATACAGGAATGTAAGAGAGAAGAGATTACTTGGCAAGCTTATTTTCAAGGAAAAAAAATTGTTTGGCCCTATGCACTAAGCCACAAAACCACACACACACACAAAATTGCTCAAACCCATTTTTTGGAGAGTAGCAGTGGGGCCTCCAGAATGCACGCCTCCCTTAGATGCTATTGCTTCCCGGGACATCATCGACGAAGCAAGCGATCCTCCTGCGATCCCGGAGGAAGTGAAACCAGCGTTGTGGACATTTTGGTCAGACATTTCTCTTTCTGATGGTGTGGTATCCACTTCAGCAGATATCCAGTGAGCATTGAGAGGCTCAGCCAGTCTTTTTATACAATGTCTGGATAGTAGTGAAGAAACGAAACTGCTACCACGATCAGAGGGAAAAGAAACCAGAAGGAAATGAAACAAATTTATGACCATGCTTTTTTATTGCTGTTGCCAGGGTGAAGTTTAGGCAAACCAACTAATTTTCTCTTGTGATACTAAAACAAATCAGTAGCGTATGAATCATTGATTGGCAACTGATGTGGCTGTGAATTTTGCTTGTTCATTCTTTTGCATTGCACCCTATTGTACTGAATTGCACCTGTAGAAGATAGCCCCTTGTTTTAAGAATTAATACAACTCTGAGTAAAGACAATAGACAAAAAAGGCAGCAAAGCGGTGGTCATGTGGAAACTGCAACTTGAGTTCTTTATAACACCCAGAGTTCAGCTGCGGTACAGCTACCCCTGAAAAAAACTGGTTTACAGAGAGCTGGAAACCAGAACTCAATTAACAACGGATGGTTGAAATTAATTTCGTTATGGAAGGAACTGTTAGGGGACCTTGCATCATACAAGCAGATTGACACAGATGTTTTGTTCTTCTTCATGCAAATCCTGCTAAAGCAGAGCCTCCATCTTTAATGAACAGGCCTTTGCAAATGGCACACACTCCTTTATCGCAGTTTTTCTCAGCCAGTAGTTTAAATGAGGCTGTTTAAAAATCCATGGGTCTCCTCCCTTAGGTAAAGAGGAATATCTGATTAGGTCACACTACCACCGGGATGGCTCTCAAAGTGGAAATATATGGAATAAAAGTATAGCATTTTCATGGATGTATAATATCTATATCTTGTACTTGGTGTGTTATAGAACAAAGGATACAAAGTCCATTCCTCTCTTCTTATATGTGCTGTTTATCTGAGCAGTGGGATATCTGGCCCATGTACCCCTGAGCAGCTCTGCTTTTTTAACTCTTTTCTTTCATTCAATTTTTTTCTTTAATTCATATATGTTAGTTTTCTTTAATTCTAATGTTTGTTATTTTTATTTTCTACTCTGCTTGCATTAGGGCTTCTGTAATTATGATGCATCTTTATCCCCATAATTTCTCAAGTCTCTCATTTATCATTTTGAATTACTTAATGTTACAAAATATCTAAAGCTGCAGCTTAAGTGCAAGTAAAATTCCATGTAAGAATAGGACAATTAATGCTATAGGCCCTCCTCAAAGTGACAATAAAACCAAAAATGTCACTTTCTTTGTACATATTGCTACAAATTCTTCCTTCAAAACTGCTAAAATCTTTTGGTGCTTTGTTGATATCATTTATTTAATATTCCAAACAGCCCATCAGGAAATGATGATAAAGTCTGGCAAAGCCACGGGGAATGAAGGCTTCACAAAGTTGCAGAGACTGTATGTGATGACCTTTTACTCAATCCTAAAACACAATTCATAATGGATACACACAAAGTTGTTTAACTAAAAATAGCTAAAATTAGATAAAATAAAAGTTTTATTGCAATCAAAGTGCCTCAAGGCAATTCATGATTGGCAGAGACATTAGTGAATAAGCAGGGAAAGGAGAAATTAATAGTAGTCTCGTAAAAACAAGGCGAAGAAACTCAATGTAATAAGGAGAGGGAAGCCACTGAAGGGATTCAAGGGAAGCCTCTACAAGTGTGCCATGGACCTAGTCAGCAAGGAGGTGGCTCTAAAATCTGCTATGTGGTTGCAGGGAGTTGGATGAGGAACATGTGAGTAGGCACAGATGACACGGTGCTAAAAACAGCTGAGCTCTGCCTACCTTCATGCTCTTGTTACTGTAGTGGTACGGCAAATGTAAGTTATGGAGAAGTTCTGACCTGGAAGGGGTTTGCTTTTACTTGTTTTCAGCTTATTATGAAAACTTGGGACAATCTTTTGTATGAAAATGAATGAAAACAAGGTCAATCTCTTGTACCTGTGTCAGGGCTGAGTCCGCTATTAGGTCTTAACAGCCCTGGCCAGCCTCCCCTGGGCCTTCAGTCCCTGCCTGAGCGATGCTGTAGCTGCATCTGTCTGCGGCTCCATCACAGCCATACCTCATTGATCCAGACTGAGCTGCAGCCTGTCTTCATGGCTTGACCTTTGACCTGCCTGGTTAGCAAGGATAGACTTGCCCAGCAATCACTGGACTGTGGCTGACGCTGGCGACCGTCACCGGACCTGAACCTGATTCGTTGACTCATGTTTCTGGCTTGACCTTGGACTTGCCTTATCACTGCAAACTTGCCTGATGATTTGGACTCTGGTCTGCTGTGCTCACCTTGCTTGGGGTGGTGGGGCAGGGCCTCGCTGTGCCCTGGCAACATGTGACATGACTAACATCACAGCCTCCAGCTTAAAAAGACCCAGTGTCACTGCTGAAGTGGGATTGGGAACAAGAACTCAGTCCCTGAGCCCGCAGCTTCCAGAGGTCCTCTCCCTCCACTGATTCATCCAGAAAGATGTGCTTCTCCTCTCACCTGCCGGCTTTGTGTGAGACGTTTTCCTAAATGGTCCCCCTACCTTTTTTTTGCTTTGCTTTGCTGGTATTTCTGGTTAGAAATTGTAACTTCCAAGATGTTAGGCAAGTGTAGTTGATGTCCAGCTGAGTTTGCAGGGAGCCTGGCACAGAAGCACTAAGGCAGTTGTAAGCCTTTGTGGACTGTTTGCCAAAAATCCAAGCAGTGATAAATTAAGAGCCAAACTGATGAACTTCTAGTTAAAGTATGGAAGGAAAGAGAAAATAACTCATTATTTGTATCACCGAGCCTGACATTGTAACAGTAAATTGGATCTGGGGAGAGTATCTGAGTAATTTCCCCACTCCAGAAGCTAAAAATCTGAGGAGAGGAGATGGGTGGTGTGAGCTGACCTGAAAAGCATCCAGTGGCACTTCTAAGCCTCAGAGAACAGAGAGTCAAAGCCATGAATACCGAGAGTACGACTGCCTTTATTTTCAGTGTCACTACAATTTCAGTAGCCTTAGGTGCTGAAGCATTTATACATGTAGCTAACATAGTCTGATGTTTAACTCTCTGAGTTTCAGGTTCAAATAAAATCCTGAAGTGTCAAAAACTGTCTAGACTGTGTGCTCTTTGAAAGGAATTGGAAAACCGGAGGCTTGATTGGAAGTACTCTGAAAATTTGAGCCGTGGGCATCCTTCCCTTTTTCAGTTGGAAAAAAAAAAAAAAAGAAGTGTGCTAATCTGAGGTAAGCAAACAAACCAACACAACCAGATGTACATGCAACTCTTCTATATTTTGCTCGGGAATGACCTTGCTCATTTGTGTCTGTGGATATAAACTACTGTGTCTCTTTGGTAGGTTTCCCTTGAAGTCCTCACTAGTGTGCCACTTAGAGATATTTTCCTCATAGCAAAGCTGGGCAGCTGATCACCGACATTAATCTCTGCATAGCCTGCTTTTGGTAGTCACCTTCTTCATTCCAATAACATGTTCATTGAAGTCACTTTTTCATAAACATTTTCCCATAAACCTCTGTTTCAAAAGAGATTATTCAAAAAGCTTTTAAACAATTACTCTTTTGAAGGGTCTAATTGAAGGAAATAAACCTGTAGAGAATCTGACTGAACCAAAGATCTTCAGCATTCAAGATTATCTATCTGTCACCCTGTGACCTATTTCCTTCACACTACTTTTTAATTTTTGTAGCAATTATAGTGTATATGGATAATACCTATTAGCATATTTATGGTCATTGCTCCATATTTATTGTCTGCACAACTCATTAATCTTCATCTAGTGTGTGAGGCTGACAGCTCAATCTATTTTGCAATCTCTGGGCAGCAGCCATATCCAAAAAGCTTTTGTTTCCCTGTAAATAAACTGTGTTCAGGACCAGAGGACAATGGTACATCATGCAGTGATTGACACAAGCCATGGCTGCTAATCAAAAGTAGATTTTATTACCAGCTGAGTCAAGTGCATTATGGGGCCATTGTTCTAGTGCTGTCAGGGCAAGAGCATACGTAGCCAGTCACCTTCTCAAGATGGGTTGATTGTTCTCCAAGATTAGGCAGAGTTGCCTTATTATCCATCCCAGACAACAAGGCATCTCACCCAAACAGACGCCTTTACAGAAACTGCCTGTACATTGAATTGATTTGAATTGCTAATGCATAATCTGTCCAGCACAGATGTGCAATGAATATTTGGATGTTGTTTTGCATGTCAGTTGAGAAGGCTGAATGATGAGGTGATGATCATTCAGTGATGGGTACTGGACATTTGCCAACAATTGAGTTTGAGCACTTTCCCTGACAGTAATCAGATCAGCTTCCAAAACGTCTTTTCTTCAATTCACTGACAATTTATGTTAGAAGATAATGCAACTCTCTCACAGTTAACACAGTTGGCAGCAATTTGCATTTTTTTCATATAATTAAATTTTTCATTTTGCCCGAGAAGAAATACATACAAGCCGCATATAACTGATACATGTATTCCAAGACACTTCCAAAGTAACTCCACTTGAATAAGAGGCCATCTAGATAAGTCAAAAATGTTGAAACTCTCCATAATACAGGTGGCACTAGTTTTATTAGTTATAAAGCTACATTTGCTGTGAAAAATTAGGAACCTTGTTATCAAGCTGTATTAGGTAAGCTCTCCAAAAAAAGCAATTAACATAATAAGCATTTAACATATGACCACGGTCATGCTTAGAGTAGGTCAGCAAACACAATGTTCTGATTTAAAAATTTTCAGTCTCTGTCAGGATTGACAGAGCATAAAATAGGAACAGAAATGAACCCCACAAGACTGATCTTATGACATCAAGGGACTGATATGAGTTCACACAGTGACGTCACAATTCACATGAATGTGAAAGAGGTCTTTATGTAGTCATAATCATAGAATCATATGACAATTTAGGTTGGAAGGAAGCTCTGGAGATATCCAGTCCAGCCAGGAACTTATCCTGTTACTTGCTCAGAGAC